AAATGTCTGACTTGGCATTTTGCCAGTTTCATATGACTCACAGACAATATTTCAACTAACAGAGGTTGGAAGGAGTTTGATAATTTATCCACTACAAGACCCATGACACATACTGTAAATACACTGAAGTCTACTGTAGTCTGACAAGAAAAAGCATCAACAGGATTTTGGGTTTCATCAGGTATGAGAATCTGTTTCTTAAGAAGCCTCTTCACGAGTCTTCTCATGCTGCAATGGGCTACAATGCAAAAGGAGTGGAAAGAAGAAAGGAGGCAAAAGCAATTCTCAGTTTAAAATGTTTCATCATCTTCTACACAAGGCTCTATTCTAGTTCCTTACTAGTTCTTTGGCTAAAAGAAAATTAGAACAACCAGAGTGGAAAGGGCCCTCCAGTGAGCACACACACATCTCATTTTTTTCTGCAAATAAAACACTGCTGGAGATTTGATCATGAATCACTGCAGTTTGTCTTTACCACAATTGAAAATGTGACTGCATAAAGACAGCATAGCTGATATTCACCAACCCAGCTATGAAAGACACATCAGGCAAGACATGGTGATGTTTCTGCCTGTGAGTGACAGTCAACTCTCAACACTTCCATTGTGCTGTTCCAGTGACCCCACATAACTCTATTAAGTGATCAATGATCTATGATTACCTGTCCATGTGGTACCAGAAGGTCAGCAATTTTTCCTTCTAAATACGCTTTCCCAGGGGATTAAGAGCAGTGGTTTAAACAAAAGAGAACCGTGGCCCCTGCAAGGAAACATTTTTCATCCCTGCCCAGCACACGTTTCTGAGGCTTATCACTAGAATACCATCACACAAATGGCTGATTCAGCATTTACCATGGTGATGGAAACTTTTGTTAGCCAATGGTTATAGGAAGATGGCTTAAGTTGCTTAGGCCATGGCTTCCTAAAGTAAAGTAGCTGCTGACAGGTAAAGTGTCTGCTATGGTGGCAGCTGATCGGCACTGAGCCCTTTCTATGCCTGTCCCCTTTCCCACCCTTCTAACTTTACTCCCTTTGCAGTTGTTCTGAATGTTAAATTCAGTATCAGAACAGCCATCTTTTAACCCGTCCACATGTCTAAAATGTAACAGGTTGGGAACATCCACTGCAATAAGATGATCCATCAATTTTTTCCTGTAAAATTATAATTTCACTTACTTAAAACACCCTGACTTCTCAGCATTCCTGACCTGAAGCAAATGGACAAGCATGTTTATAAATACCATGGTAACTGTAAAAATAAAACCAAAGGGGGAATTGATTTTGCCCCCAGCAAAGGAGAATAAACAGTGGCACATTTAGACAGTCTGGAAAACTGAATACACAGGCAATAAACGGAAAAAAATGAAAGGCAGCAAACTTTTACACGCCTGTTTATGTAGAGAGGCCTATCTCACAAACACACATTTGGCCTTGTAGGTTCTTGTAAGCTCTCCTCTGCCATTTCTTTAAAAATAAAAAAAAAAAAAAATAAAAAAAAGCAAATACCCCCCCCCCCCAAACTGCAGATATGACAAAAATGTTATACACAGCAAAACATTAAAAGTTCAACCATCAAAACAGTCCAATCTTCATGCAGCTGCAGAATGTCAGCAATGGGTAAGTCTGAAATTCAATATTAAGAAAATAAATCTGTCCATGAGAAAAAACCCATTAGTGTGTCCAGTCAACTTGCTCAAAAAGCCAGCTATGATTATTAGTGTCCCAGTAGCCCAGAGACAGCCTGCAGAGCTTCTGTGGCAGAGGTGATGTACACAAGGCTGTACTACCTCAGCCTAGTCCTCAGCACACATGCCAAGCAACCCAAACCGATCACCTTCCTAATTATGCCAGCTCTGCCTGGTTTGCCTACTTCAACTGATTCACAGAAGACCAAGCCCACCTATCTATGAGTCTGTGTTATAATTTTAGCCTCAGTGACTTTGGATGATTACATTAACATTGGAGTAAATAAAAACATAACACTACTGCTGAAGAACAGAACCAACACATAATGGAAATAGAAAGATTATGGGTGAACAAGCAACAAAGAACAGTAAATATTATTAATCTGATATCAGGCTGAGAGCCATAGCAAAAAAAAACTGGACTGATATGAAGGAGTAAGGCATAATAAATCAACCACACTAATCACTGTTTGCATATGGTCATCTTACTGCTATCTTACTAGTTTTAGACAACTCATTTTATCCCAAAATGTACAAGAGCAGCCTGTCTGATAACACTAAATCTTTCTCCCAACTTTATGCTAAAGGAGAGAACCCACTGCTAAAAATTCTCACTGCAGAGAGATTCAAAACAGCTGTGCAGCAGAAAATGCAGATGATCAGTATGGCTTTTCTCCCCACATTATGTCATTTTGTTTACAGAATATGGAAAAACAAATTAACATGTAACAACTGCAATATTGTAAAAGACATTAGTATGTTAGCTTTAAAACAGTTGACAATTCACTTTATTACCTTAAAAACATTTATTAGGAGTGAAGACAAAACTTAATTTCTTGTAGTATGTTACTTAACTCTTCAGCTTCCACTAGCAAAGCAAAATTGAAGCCATCAACCACTTATGGTTTTCTTAGCTTTCATTATTCTCCTGATATAGTGGAAATCTGTCATATATTCCCTTAAGTAGTTCTTGATCTTTAGAAATAATTGCTACCAATGGGAATAATCCCAGAGAGAGATCTGTGAAACAGCTACTAAATCTTTGTGGGGAAAACCGCCCCAAAATAAAACTATCTATGCTATGAAGAATTACACAGAAACCCTATTTTAAGAAAGTATCACACGCAAAAGCTTCAACAGTTCCAACCAAAGACTAATATTGCTACCTGTAATTAATTACAGGAAGAAAAAAAACCACCTACCTTCAGATGTAAGTTGGTTTTGAATTTATTAACAGCAGACTAATATATAAAATATATATGCCAGTAATTTCTCTTAAAAGAACATTACCAAGCTTGACAATACCTGTGAAATGAAACGATGTTGTAGACTTTGCCAGTTGGTAACTTTCTAAAAACAAATGCAATAGAGCCAAGAACATCAAAGCAGAGACATGAACTAATGTGCTTTCTCACAGGCTGCAAAATCTGATCTATAGCAAGGCATAAGTTTCTTATATGATTGCATATTCTATTACATAGTAAGATAAAAAGATGTGTTGCTACATCCTTCCTTTTAACTCTGCATTTTGTAAAAAAAAAAAAAGAATGGAATAGCTTGATGAAAAAAAAGAGTCACAGCTTTTAAGTCAGAAGTAAGCTTTGAACTTCACTGGCCTTCTTTAAGGTCATTAAAATTACTTAAATACATATATTAAATATCAGCCTACATTTCAGAACTTTGACTTTGTCAGTACGGCTCATTATTTGCAGCACTTTAACATACTTTAATACTTGCAAAAGGCATGAACTACACTCAAGAGAAAAATATTCACATACTCATATACATAAGCTGAGTTGAGTCCATGTGTTTCTCCTACCTTTTCAGTGTTCTATCTCCCTTCTCACACCAGTTTTCTACTTGTGATCATTCAATTATCAAGTCCCACGGACAACTTCAGCAGCAAAATTGTAAAACACAAACACCAGCAAAAAGTTTATCTATCCAGGCCTTCCAATCAATTTTCTGAGACTATGCCTTACATCCTTCTTCTTCCTCCTCTCACTATAGGAACTAGTTGTATAGAACAGGCAAGATGCCCCAGCGCTTGTTAACTGTGGTATGCTTGCTCCAGTAAAATACAACCAGTCACATAAAAAAAGCCAGAGAAAGCCCCACACTCACCCTCCTTAAACTGTTTCTAGTACCTCTTGGCTTTGTTGTGAAAGACTGCCAAAAATAATCAGTACAACCCATGGCAAAACAAAGAGACATTCCCCCCCCCCCCAAAAAAAAACAACCAAAAAAAACCAACCTGCATGCCACCCTCACCCAGTCTTTCCTCCCCGCGGCAAGCTTGCACTACCAACCCAAGCAAGAAGTTGTACAGCATGCCAAAATTGAATTAGGCCTATGCCGCAAGTCGTCTTTCTTGTTGCTAATGTTCCAAGTAGTTTCAGAAAATAGTAACAGAAAACTGACAGAGACAGGATTCCTCACAGTTCCACTAGGCACATAATATATATGCCTAGTTTTGTCCTTATTTCAGTCATCTTCCTGCTCTGTTGACTTCAGCTTGATGCTAAACGATAAAGAAACAGATGATATCTGTGATACTAGTAGTACGGTAAGAGAATGCACATTTGCCAAGTATAGATAAAGACTTCAGACTATTCTAGAGAATAAATATGTGTTCAAAGCAGGTAATAATAAAAGAAAAAATCAGACATCATAATTCAAGGAAATATTGTTGAAACTACAGGAAAAATGTTGCATCAACCAATTCAGGTCTCTGTCAGTAGTCCCCTTGTCACATACCGATGTTCCTGGGCTGAAAAACTTACCTTGCAACAAGTTCCATTTGTTTTCCTCTGGGTTGTTTCTGCTTGCAATCATTTTGTACACAGACTAATGAAAGCAAAATTAACTTCTCAATACAATGGATAACATGTCCCATTGATTATTTTGGGGGAAAGAGATGGGTTTAACTTCTTCATCTTTAGATGTTTGCATATAGACAAAATTTCTGAATAGAAGAAAAGGAACCGACTACAGCAAGCGAAAAAAAAAAAAATCTCTTAACTTAAACTTCTGTTTATGTTAAAGTCAACCACTACTTAGCCTCTACCCAGGCAATATACACAGATGATTTAGAGATCATCATTGTGGCTTAGGCCAGGATAGACTAAACAGAAAAATGAATTACCACTCAATGATTGAATACATGTGGAGGAGTTTGGATGTTTATTGCCTCTGTGACAGGACTGATTATTAATGCATAGAACACCACAAAAAAGCTGTGTTCTCCAGTTTGCCCCCAAACCAGTTTGTAATAATCCAGAGACACCAATATTTTTAATCATGTTTTTATTCTTACCTCAGCCTTTCTTCTTCTTTCTTACGAAGGCTGAAATCTCGCTGAACCACCTGGAGCACATGCTCTGCTTCTTCATCAGTCAAGCCAGAAAGATCCAGTTTTCTCCCCATTATATACTCTGTCCTGGATATGAGTAACTATGAGGAAAACCTGAAAGCAGAAACAGAAAAAAATGCAAAATAAATTGAAAGCATTGATGTTTTTCACAAGTGTGTTGAAATCACAGGCACATCTGCCCAACAAAAAGAAAGTTGCTGCCATAAACATCAGAGAAGAAAATCATAGAATCATTTAGATTGGAAAATACCTTTAAGATTATGGAGTCCAACCATAAACCTAACACTGCCAAGTCCACCCCTAAACCATGCCCCTAAGTGCCACATCTACATGTCTTTTAAACACCTCCAGGGATGATGACTCAACCACTTCCCTGGGCAGCCTGTTCCAAAGCTCGATAACCCTTTCAGTGAAGAAATTTTTCCTACTATCCAGTCTAAACCTCCCCTGGCAGAACTTGAATGATTCATTTCAGAATTATTTTTCAAGTTCCATGCACTGAAAGCAACCACGCCCAATTTAAAAAGAAATTAAAAAGATAAATTATTTGTAATAATAAATAATATTGATGGAAGACCTCAGTGTTGCCCTCAAGAAACATGTTTAACTCAGCTGAAATCAGGTTTAAACATTTCTTAAGATTTTATGCCACCAGTTTGCAAAACTGTTTGCAAAACACAGTCCCTGTGACTGCGTATGAATAGAGAACATACTCTCCTATAACACTCAAAAATATTTTGTACTACCAACTAAGAAACCAGGAATTATTTTAAAACACCATACAAAAAAAAGTAAGCATATACATTTCAAATGCATTTCCCAGAGAGACTGGAAAGATTTAGATGTCACTACCACCAAGATATCATTATTTCCCCTTTCTGTGAATGACAATGGAAGAGAAAAAGTAGTAGTCAACGTTATGTATTAATTGAAGGTACTATAAAGTTTGAACTACAGCTTGGTCCATTTATTTCATTAATGAATTATCATCAACTTGTTCTAACTTATTTTCTTATGACTTTTATTAATTTTGTTGAATTCTAGTAAATTCAGCTCTCAGTATTAATTTCTGTGATTTGATTTATGTAATTATTTGGGCAACTGTAAAGGTGTCCGTCTCCACACTGAGTTATGGTTTCAGAAACATCACACAGTTTTTGCAGCTCTGTTATAAGCTCCTAGCAATGTATATAATAATTACAAACACACAAAAGTTCTTACATTATACTGCAGAGGCAACTATAACTGCCTTTTTATCCATTATGAGTGTCAACTGAATCAGACTATGTAAAACACATAAGCTGGTTCTGTCTCAAAAAAACACCTCTAAGCAACACTGCTATAGCATAAAATTAAGTGCTCCAAACAGTATAGCAAGTAGAAGCATGGAAAAAAAAGTCACCTTTATTTTCTAAACAAAACAATTCATTTGTTACTTAGATGAAGATGGAGAATGTGGTTGGTTGGGTTTTGTTTGGGTTTTGTTGTTTTGCTTTGGTTTTTTTTAAAACAATATTTACCTTCCTCCAATCACCTGGTTACAGTTCTTCAAACAAGAAAAAAACAGACACATGGAAGGAGGGTATTGCTTATTTTTTCTATTTTGGTTAGGCTATCGATGAAGTTCAGAATACACTCTTCATTCAAGGAAACAGCACTTCAACAAAAACAAGCAGATGGGACAGAAGCTTAGGTGAAACCAAGATGACAAGATCCCTCCAGTGAGACACATGCTTACCATGCAGCTAACAAAGGTCACAACAGAACAGTATGTTCAGGCTTGACTTTGTCAGTCTGCTATGGAAGCTGAACAGGAACATCAACAATGAGTTAATAAAGGCTATAAAAATGTACTTCTAAATGAAATTACCCCAATTTTTGCAGAAAAAATTGCCACAGAAACAGAGGACTATATGTAGTCCTCACTAATCCCACTTGCAAGGCCAAGAATGTATGTTAAGATTAAAGGTTGGCTAAAATATAGTGGTGAACAACCGGCAAGATTTTCTTCCATCCCACAAGCACACACAAATCTTCCTGAAACTTTCACCAGAATGTTAAGATTTTTCCCCTGTCCCTTCACCCTCACTCCCTGTACCAAAGCCTCACTGCACACTGGCAGGCATAAGAAATGGTGAAGTAGGGCTTACTGAGGTTACACTTACACGTTGGAGCTCGAAGAAAGAATAAGCAGTGTCCTGGGACACATTCTTCCCTTCAGGCTCTGGGGTACCTGTTCAGCTCTTCTCATGCAAAGGGCCTCTCTGACTTTCTAAAAGGATGGAAGGTCTTCACTACAGGAAAGGCACATCCGCAGGGAAGCAGGACTTTTCCAATTAACTTTTTTCACACCCATACACTTTATGGGAGAAACACATCAACTAAAAGGAAATAAAACTATTCTAAGCAACTGCTGGAGCCAGTAGACACCCCTCCATGGTAGGGCTACAGCTGTCTGAGACACAAGACAATGAAGATACTAGATCAAAGATGTCATTCCAGTTGTTCTTGAACATCAAGTTAACAACTGTAATTAACGCTGTCATAATAAGTTCTCCCTTCAGGTCTTCATCAAAATGTTTTTGGAAACTTTGTCAAAATTAATACTGTTTTTTCACACATGAAAACTGTGGCCGATCAGTAAAGAAAATTATCCCTTTGATCCAGCCGCCACTACCAATTGCAATCATGTATTAGAAGGGGGAAATTTACCCCTAAATCTGGGAGTAGGTGGGCAGCCCCACTACCTCCAATCTCCTGTGGTCAGCAAAGACTTAATTTCAAGTATACATATACTTGAAAATTACCAGCAACTTTAACTTTGGATTTTCATGTGGTTTATTTACCTATAAGACTCTCAATCTGCATTCCAATATTACATTAACCTCTAAGGAACTTGTGGGGTTTTTTTCCAGGAAATAATTTTTCATCACATTACTAAATCACCTCTGATCTGGGAGTATCACAGCAGTTTAGAAATATTTATAAACAATGCTCAAATGTCTTTTTTTCAGTAGATCCAGATTATGCATTTTGGAAATACACAATGGCAAATCCTCTAGAGGAAGTGTAAAAAGTTACATTTTTAAAAAATGACAACAAAATAGTTTCTCAGGCTGAAATAACTCCTGGCCTCGACTGAAATAACTTACATGAGGCTGTTCAGATGTTTGCCTTCATGAGTAATACTTTGCTAAATCTCAAACTGAATACAAAATTTAAGCTTTCAGAGACATTACAATAAACTATTGCTCAACAAATTAACACACTGTAACAGGAAAGCCTAGGCTTACACTACATGATTGGGTATTGTCCAAGTAATACCCTAATCTTAATACTTCTTACAGTCTTTTAAAATCTAATTAAAACTTCCATATTGAAAACATTTCTTGAATTTAACCTTTTCTAAAAAAACAACCACATCACAAAAAAAACCCAAGAAAAACACCAAAACAACCACAAAAACCCCACAGAACAAGGAGCAAATGAAATGTTTTTCAAGAACAGCAAGCAATGCTTCTGAATTTTAAAATGGACAAGAGCATCCACACAAGAAATGAGGGCAAGTAGTGTATTTCCTAGTCACTCATATGATACCTAAGCTGTTTGGACTTGCAGTCTCAGCAAAAGATTAGCATTACAGAAGGGTGAGGAGAAAGCCCACAAAGAACTTTTTTTTTTTTTTTTTTTAAGAACCAACTAACATTTAAAACAGATTCTCTGCTTGACAAAAAAGCCACATGATAAAGTTAATTATGCAAGTGGTCACATTTAGTATTGTACAACACAGGCATCTTAGTTTCACATTGTAGCAAAGAAATCAGCCCTAGCAAAGCTGCACCTGGAGTGCTGCATCCAGTCTGGGCTCCCCAGTACAAGAAAGATACACACTTACTGGAGCAAGCCCAGCTCAGGGACACAAAGATGATTAAGGGACTGGAGCATCCTTCACAAGAGGAGATGCTGGGAGCACTAGGACTGCTCAGCCTGGAGAAGAGAAGGCTCAGGGCAGGGGGCCATACAAGTGTGTATCTGGAAGAGATCCCTCCAACACCCCGGCACTGCGAACAAGAATATCTTACAATTCCTTCTGAGCAAATTTTTAATCAAGATTTCACCTGTTTCCACAACACAGTATCATTTTTGCTTTAAAATGCTGCTCATGTGCATTAATGAGATGTGATACTTGAGGAGCCAGTATCACAAACTCCTTCAAACCAGCTATTTGCAACCGAAATATTTCATATAGAATACCTTTCCCTCACATGCTCTCAGCTTTAGAGTCACTAACACTAAACACCAGAGCTTTTCTACTCTGTTCTGCTACTCTACCACTTCTAGTATTTTCCAGGTAGAAAAGTCAAGAAAAAACCTGCTAGTGATTATATCTTTGATTCTGTCACCAACCAACTCATGTTTACTTCCTTCAGCAGTCTGTCAAGACCTAAATAATACTGCTCAATCTGTCTTGTCATTATAGTTTGGCATTTGACCAACTTCTGCAGAAGTCTTTTAGTACCTTAAGAAATCCTTCTGTATAATCTTATTGGTGAACATTTTGCCCTCTAAATCGTAGAAGATAGTCACCTTTCTAAGCCAAAAAGAAAGACTAATGCTTTGTCCACAACACAGCTCCTTCACCACACCTTGTATTTTTAAAAAGTTTTGTTTATTGAACATCCGAAAGAAGTGATCACATTGCCAGCACAAGGTCATTAGGCTAAATGTTTTAAAGTGTCACAAATATGTATCATATATAAATTATATAATGTCACATGCTTTATTTGATGACAAAAATAAGGTCTGAGTCTTGAAGTGTAAAGGGGATTCCTGTGTTTTGAATTATGTCACGACACTTGAACAAAACAGACTTTAGCCAAAAGACAACATTTAAAGAACATTACTGTCCAAAGTCATTTCTACTACAGCTAGCACATCATTAAGTCTAAAATGAGGCATAATTAACTTGGTCACAAATTTCTTAATCTTTTTTAAACCCCAAGAAAGTCTAGAAGCTGCAGTAAACAACACTGGATATTCTTCCCTTTTCACT